CGAGAAAAACACGTGAGGGAAGAGCTGCGCTGAAGTTCGCGGCCCCCAGGCTCATATAGCGCTGATTCGCCGTTGCTGTATGCTTGATTCGTTTCAAAATCAGACCGCACAGCAGGTTCAACAATCCAGCTTGTAGCTCACCGATTTCGATGATAGAAGGATCGCTTGGAAAATCACGGAACACCATCTGTAGCGTATCGCAAGGGCTACAATCTCAGATACTAACATTGTCTACGAGGGGGGTCAGCGGACTTAATTTGCGATCAAAGTTTCGTACTGGAGTTAGACCCTTGAAAACTGAGATATGCAGGCGTTTCCTGGATTTTTTAAGAGGAAACCTGCCAAGCCCCCCGCGGCTCAAACACGTGCCCACTGTTCGCGTCACAGCAGCGTATTGTGTAGGCTGCCTTCGTCCCTCCGTCGGAGTTTCCCACTGTTCGGTCAACACAGACTACATGGGGTTAGGCCTGACTGATTTTTCTGGATTACTTCGCCACGAGCTCGATCCTATGTCAGTAGTCTATGCAGCAAAATTGATTCAACAAACACATGGGAAAAAGTATTCAATCCGTGCTCTGGGGTTAGGGTTAGGGCTAGGGTTAGGGATAGGGTCTGCCTGCCCCCTCCCTATGCTCTCTAGATACTCCTGAAATCCTGCATAGGTGGTCCTCCCATGTAGTTTGTCCCTGATGCATACCACATCCAAAATATTGCTTGCGTTCGTCTTTCTGCCGAATTGTTTCAGAATGAGGTGTCAGACCTTCTCGAGCTCTTCGACGCCGCGGTCAACGCCTCGCCTACTGTGCCGCAAAACAAGACCAAATCGGTGCCGTCAGTGATTCCTACCCCTTCCTAAAAATGTTGATACTGCTGCGAAGACGGCCACGTTGAGTAAGACTGTTGCAAGTCAGGGGGGGAGAAAAGGCGCGGTAACCAAGGGCAGGATTAGAGGGTGGACGTGTAGTAGGCGGGTGCGCACGGACTTCTGTACGTTTTCTGGAAAGTATACATCACCTCACAGAAAGACCACCTGTTCGAGATAATACCACAGTCGAAGGGGATGTATCGAGGTCTTCACAGCAGTGAGTGAAGAAACCGGCTGGATATCTGGGCTTAGTTGGGCTTTGGACCGTTATTGGTCGCAACGAGGGTGGGACGCACACACACGCTGGATCCATTTTCCAGTTCTGTTCTCCTTTGAGAGCCCTCCCCGGCCCACACAGACGTGCGGTTCTACCTGCCCCACAGACAAGCGCACCTGTCAGCCAATCTCCTTCTGGAAGCAGACGATTCCCATCTCGACGGACACCAGTTGGAAGCATGAACTTACATCACCGACGTATACATTGGAGGAGTCATAGAACGAGCCTCCCGATATCCTGCCGCCGGAATCGCCGGCAAGAGCATCCCCTGGTCCAGGAGCCGAGAGAGCGACAGCCGCCGCAACCGCGGCTGCGACAGCGGTCTTCTTCGCCACGTCTGTCGCGAAAGACTCCCATGGGCGCTTTTTGTCGCCATCCCCGGCTGTTGCCTCACGAGGAGGGCCATTGCGGTCGGCGCTGATCGCGGCTGCTGCGGTCTGGTGAGCCCAGCGGTGGTGGTGCAAGTGCCTACGAACCGAGCGGAGAGCATGGACGCAGCAGGCACAACAAAGCCGGGCGTTGGGACGCATCCCAGGAGGCCTGGCACTGCTGGTAATCTCATTCCGTCCTTTTCGTTCTGTCGGAAGAGAGTCTCCGTTTATCTCCTGAGGCCCTGGCCACGCCCAAGGGGGCACAACATTCCTGTAGCCTTTTCCAGTGCTATTCCGGAATGGTCCGGAACCCGAAACAGTCTTGCAAACTTGCAAGTTGCAGCCTTGCTGGCTTAGACTTATCTACAGGGTTCTGGAGAGGGTTTGGTGTACTGTTCCGGTTCTCTGCTGAGTGTGCATGAGCGTGGGCGCGCAGTCTGAACGTTTGAAGGGAGCGAAAAGGAGAGAGAGAGTGGGATGGTGGTGTGGGTGGGTGGGTTGGAGTAGTGAGGTGGAGTAGTGCTATTGACGGCAGCACAGCGAAGAAAGCGAGGTTCAGCGAAGCCACTACGCTACGACGCCAACTTGAAAAATCTCTGTTGGCCGAAGGCCTGGTTATCAAGTACAGACTTGAACATAAATATCGCCCTCTCCGTGGCAGTACCAAAAATGGGTGCGCCGGAAGCACCTACAAAAATTACAAGACAAAGCTACCAAAGAGTTTCACCACCAGACGAAAGCCCTCGATAAGCGCATTGATTGATGCGAGCCGACAACTAACTGACTTTTTTGGTCAACCCAAACACGCAAAGTAGCATGAATTTTTTAACATCGGCATCCCTGTACCGCTCGCCCCAACCAACCGCGACCACCCACCCCGTAGTGCACCACCACCGTTCGTTTCGGCGGCGATCAACAATGTAGTCCCGATTGGCTCGACTGAAATTTAGTTGCCTTCCTTGCTCGCTGGAAATTGAACAGACAGGGGTTAGAAACGCCCCCCGTCGCCCAGATAGCCACCACCGTCGCAAAGAGAGGGGGCGCTGCAGTGTTATTTGGAACGAGTTGATAGCCCAGAAAGTCTTTGTTTCAAGGAGCACATAGCAAAAAGTATGTGCAACCGAGGCCTGTGGCTTTGGAGTTTTCGGGAGCGAGACAAGCGTGACCCTGGACACGATATGGTCTTTTTGGTCGAGACACGAGGAGGCAGTTTCCTCGTCGTATCAATCAGTGCACCAATGAGCTCGGCGACCTCTCCCCATCATCGGTCTTCGGCGTGGGCCGTACTGGGTGCTTCGAAGACGCTTATCATTTAACGTTTTTTCCACAAGTTGGCGCGTTGTTGGTGTCTTCGCGTTAATAAAAAACGATCCAGATCTCTACTCAGCGCTCTGTTCATCCACACTGACTGGTCCAACCGACCGGGATCACCCCCGTGGTATCGTCAGAAAATCAAACAACTAAGCTCTAGAAGGATCACGGCAAAGACATTGAGACGGAGAACTGGTGAAGAGGATAGAAACAGCGCACATGGTCGATCGTGGTCGCGCACTCTCCTAACTGTCTCTGGAAGTGAAGCACCAGAGAAAAAAATCATTTTATGAAATCTGCCTCGAAAAGTGACCAAGAAAATATCATGTTCACAAGGCATCGAGACAAACCATGGCTGTTGTAGTCAGGACGTTCATAGCCCAGGCGCTGCAACAGGACAGGTCCTGATGTCTTAACGCTCCACCCCGGGGACTGCACTCATGGTGACATGAAGCCTCGCGAACTGCAAACGACCCGCATAAATAGCAAGTTTGGTGAGGCAGATATAGCCGATGTAGACTACTGTTTATTGAAACGGTCGAATTTGCCAGAGGCGTTATTGTTCCTGTATTTCGGGGTATCAGGTTGAGAAGAGTCCTTTTGGGATGGTCACTTTATCGGAGAGTTCACGTGCAGGAGAAGGCTCGCTGGACAGCGTGGAATAGCAGATTTATACAACAGCAGTACGTGAACTCAGAGAGGGATAGCAAGGATTGGCCAGATTGGGAGGCCAAGAAGTTGCGTTCTT